ATTCCAGGTCTGCTTTTTAACTACCCTTATGAAAACTACTTGCCCTCCCCATTCTCTTCCTTCCCATTCTCTTCCTCCCTTAAATACAGACATGTGGTCTGTAGAATCAGCAGCCTTACTCAAGAAGCCCCAAGCCTCATGTTGACGTTAAAGCATAAAGCATTGTCAAGCTTCTAAAACAACCCCAGTAGCCACCAACATTCAGGATTCTCACGCAAAAAAAACAAAACAAAAACAAGTCTCTAACTTTTTAAGCCACAAGTAGACAAGTTTTCTGCTATTTGCAATGGACACAAGTCTAAATAATTTGGAAAGTCACAAATTCTGAGAATCACCCTCCTCATCTAGTAAATAAGGGTGATGCTAGTAAGACGTATGTAAAGCACAGTATCTGTCTGACACATAGAAAAGGTTCAGTAATGCCAGCTGTTGTGATAATGACGACATCTTTAATTCTCACACCAACCAGTACTTTCATAGTACTTTGGGGGTAAGTACTATCTTCAACCACTTTAAAGACAAGAAAATTAAGGCTCCAAAGTTAAGCAACTTGCTTAAGATCACACAATTAGTTAGGAGTAGAGTCAGGATTCAAATCCAGAAATCTTTTCAAGGCCATGATCTTAACTAGTATTATGCTTAGAAAAGTGACTGAATACAGTTAAGACTTAACAGCTAATAAATGTTGGCTATAATGATTATGATAACATAGCCAACTATGAAGACAAGAACAGGTAGAAAATGCCCTATAGTTTTCAAATCCAGAAAATAATAAATTCTCATTTAATTCAACACTGATTTTATTTTTCTTAAAACTGAAATGGCTCTCATTTCTTCACTGAAACAGGAATACTACAGCCTCGTCACTGGAGGTTAACTTCGTCCCTTTATAACACCAAAGGAACTAAGAACAGTGTATTCAACCAATAATTGAAACACTCTACTGATAGGTAAATGCCTTGATGACTCTTGTCCATCAAAAAAGTAAGAAATGAGTATTTATTGTGAACTTATACTCTGCAAGGCACTATGCCAGACATTTAAAAATTATTTTCTCCAAAATATGCAGCACATGTTTATTTTCTTAAAGTAACAAGATTCCTTTGGAGGGAAAACTTCATAATAATTCAAAACATTAGAAAGATGCTGCTGCTGCTACCAGTCATCAACACCATCGTCATCATCACTACCATTACTACTAATAATAGACATAGAATTCATATCACAAATCAATATATGCTAAACTTTACTTTTGGAATGCTTTGCTTCAAACTTCAGATGTTCTCTTCAGTGAAATAAATGAAACAAAGAGCTTTAAAAATTCATGCTGGGTCAGGTGCAGTGGCTCATGCCTGTAAACCCAGCACTTTGGGAGGCTGAAGCTGGCAGAATGTTTGAGTTCAGGAGTTCAAGACCAGCCTGGGCAACATGGTGAAACTCCGTCTCAACAAAAAATACAAAAATTAGTTGGGCATGGTGGCAAGCACCTGTAGTCCCAGCTACTTGTAGGGCTGAGGTGGGTGAACTGCTTGAACCCAGGAGGTGGAAGTTGTGGTGAGCTGTGATCGCACCACTGCACTCCAGCCTGGGCAACACAGCGAGACCCTGTCTTAAAAAACAAAAACAAAAACATGCTGAAGACATAGTATTTAAAAAACAAGCTAAATTCAAAATTAAAGTTTCTAAATAAATTACATTCAGGAAACAGGCAAACTAAAATATTTGCAATTGCAGTTAGGAAAGATATTTAGTTTCTCAAATAGATTTTGAAATTTAAAGAGTTTGTGTTCAGCTGTTAACTTTCAAACTAATTTGAGGTATTATCATTCTAGTAAATTAAAAAAAATGTAAAATAAAAGTTGAAACAGAATGGCGAATAAAATAGAAGTTTTGAGGTAAGATTAACTCTAGCAAAAATGCTGAGTCTCAAAATATGTACATTTACAGCAATATATTTTGGAAGCCAAGTAACTTCAAATCATATCTTCCACACTGAAAGAGGTATAGCATAACAAAGAGTTGATACTACCATTTTTATAAGTAGATATAGAAGAAATGCTTTCAAGGAAAATACATCAAGGAAGGATTGGTTTGCTTAATAAATTCAAAAATGACAGGCAATAGCATAAAATCCACATGAACATTATAATATGCTCAATCAGTTCTAATTAAGGATTTAATTATACCTATGTGATATCTAATTTGCATTTTTCTAAAGGAACACAAAGTGTTCTATTTTAGGTCCAAAGTTAAGGTTCTGGGCCGGGTGTGGTGGCTCATGCCTGTAATCTTAGCACTGTGAGAGGCCGAGGCAGGTGGATCACTTGAGGTCAGAAATTCAAGACCAGCCTGGCCAACGTGGTGAAACTCCATCTCTACTAAAAGTACAAAAATTAGCCAAGCCTGGTGGCGGATGCCTGTAATCCCAGCTGCTCAGGAAGCTGAGACAGGAAAATCCCTTGAACCCGGGAGGCAGAGGTTGCGGTGAGTCAAAATCGTGCCACTACACTCCAGCCTGGGTGACTGAGACTCCATCTCAAAAAAAAAAAAAAGAAACCTAACTGTAATATATTTATGGAAAAATATTTTATTAAAAATTAAAACAAGGTAAGAACAAAGCATCATGTTTTCAAGTACAGGACAATTTTGAACCTAAATAATTCCTAATATATTCAATAAAAGAAAAATGGATACGGAGACATAAAAAACACAAATGTCATTTATAGACACATAAAAGTATTCTTTATTATAATGCTCTGATTTTTAAAACAGGGAGCTCCAAAATAAGCCTTTTTGAATAATTCTGTTCATCAGACACCCGGGTAAATGAATTTCTACTGTACACACTGAGAGATGTAGGGTTAGAACCTAGACCTCTTGTCCTCCACTCTATGTTCTTCCTGTTACTTGTCTTACTTGACTTCCTTGCACATGCCAAAAACTACTGTCATCTCCTTCCTGCCATTTTTACCCTCTAAAATTGTATAAAGCACTTTCTAGAAGAATATTGAAAAAGAACAGAGAAGTGGAAGGAGAATCAAGAAAATAAAGGCATGTGAGAATTTCTGAGAAGGGAATAGCCAGTATTATTGAATAATACAAAGCAGTTAAGCAAAAGCTATTGGGCAGATAACTAGATGTCCCTGATGAATTTAAGAGGGTGCTTTCAACAAGTATAATGGTGAGGGCACAGCCTGGTGGGCTGACCTAATGAATGAACGGTAATTTGGGAATGGGAAAAGTACAATAGCTTTAAGGGGAAACATGCTAAAATGTTTCCAATCTTATCAAACTATTTAGAAAAAATGATACAGAAAAAATTTAAGGTAAGGAATAGGAAATCCAGGGAGTATTAGCTTGAATCAATTGAAATGTCAGACACTCAACTATTCTGACGTTAAAAACTGCAACTTTATATGGTTTAAACTAAGGTACAAACTTGATTTCAAGAAAGTAGATAAGGTTATCTTCTAAGGACGTAGAAGCAAAGAACAGATGCCTAAGAGTGAAGTAGGAAAAGTAATAAGAAATCTATGAGAAATGAATGAAAGAATTTGAGTCCTGAAGTTGAATAATAAGAATAATATACCTGGCAAGGTTACACTATTTTTCTAAAAGGATCCTGTTATTTTTACATTTGCATTTCACTTTTAGAAATGTAGCTTTTTTTCTGTAATAGGATGCCTGAACATGAACACTGCAACATTTCTTCAAGGCAGGCACTCTGAGTGTGGTACAAACATAAATCCGCAGCGATGCTGTTGCCTTTATATTTTGTTTTGTTTTGTTTTTGCTGATAAAGGCACTCAGAGCCTAATATGAAGTTGCTATTAATAATTCCAGGTCTACTGTTATTCCACAGCCTAATTTCTCATCTTTCCAATCCCATGTCACCAAATGCCTACAGAAAAATCACAACATGACCGGGCACAGTGGCTGACACCTGTAATCGCAGCACTTTGGGAGGCCGAAGTGGGTGGATCACCTGAGCTCAAGAATTCAAGACTAGCTTGGGCAACATGGTAAAACTCCATCTCTACCAAAAATACACACAAATAAAATTAGCCAGGCATGGTGGCAGACACCTGTAGTCCTGGCTACTCAGGAGGCTGAAGCACAAGAATCACTTGAGCCCAGGAGGTGGATGTTGCAGTGAGCTGAGATTGCACCACTGCATTCCAGCCTGGGTGACAGAGTGAGACCCTGTTTTAAAAATAAATAAATAAAGATAGAATAACCACAACATGTCCTAAACAGAACTCCTGCCCTTTGAACAGTTCTCTGCCCCCCTTCCTTACTGCTGTGACCTATATTTTTCTAGTCACCTGGGCTAGAAACCTTTAGCATGAGTTACCAAGCCCTATCAGTCTTTCTCTGAACAGGCTCTTCTAGTTTTCTGTTCCCATCTCTTTCCACTCTAGTCCAGCCTCTAATCACCTACTGCCTGGATTACAATAGTCTCAGAACTGGTCTTGTAGCGTCCACTCCATCTCACACATCACGACTAATGTCAGCAGATACAAATGCCAATCCCCAAACGCTACCGTCATAACTTTTCACCCTGAAATTCAGACTTATCTATAAAGATCCTAGCCTATCCAGCAAAGCAAATATTTCACCACTCCCTAAAACTTCCATGTCATGGAATCTTGACCACTGTGGTCACTTCAAATGCATACACAGAAAAAGAAAAAGAATAGAATAGAGGAGGAAAGAGAATGGAAACAAAGACAATGATTAGGAGAAAGTCACTGTGAACCAGGTGCGGTGGCTCACGCCTGTAATCCCAGCACTCTGGGAGGCTGAGGCAGGCAGATCACGAGGTCAGAAGATTGAGACCATTCTGGCCAACATGGTGAAACCCTATCTCTTCTTTAAAAAATACAAAATTAGCTGGGCATGGTGGCACGTGCCTGTAGTCCCAGCTACTTGGGAGGCTGAGGCAGTAGAATCGCTTGAAGCCGGGAGGTGGAGGTTGCAGTGAGCCAAGATCATGCCATTACACTCCAGCCTGGCGACAGAGCAAGACTCCATCTCAAAAAAAAAGAAAAGAAAAGAAAGAAACTGTGGCAAATTCAGGTACAAGGTACAAGATATCCATGGCTGGAGAAAAGCCCTAATGGTAGAGACAGAGGAAAGGACAGATTTCAGTGATAATTAAGAGGAAAGCTGGTGACTGAGTGGATGAGGAGGGTTGTAATGAAGAGAAATGAGCCTATTCTGACTCAGCTTTTTGGACTAGGTGGCTGGATAGACTGTAATTCAATTAACCAAAATAAAAAATAATTTGAAATTTGTCTGAAATTAGCAAGGCTCTCTTGCATGAGATAGAAATAACTAAGAAAACGGAGTGTCAGCAGCTTAAAAAAGAGCTTTTGCCAGATTTGAATTCATAGAGACAAAGAGAAGCAGTGTGGACTTTTAAAGCCAAAGCTGGCACTGGGCCTAGCAAAGAGAAGTCACTTGATAAATGTTTACTGAACTAGCTCAAAGTTGCTAGCAGTTGACTCAATGTATGGATAAGTAAGGAGACAAGAATTTTAGATACCTAGAATCACAGTAGGAAAGAAAAAAATAAAGGTTACCTTGAAAGTATACAGAAAATCTACGTTTAAGTAGTGTCTAATAATACATTAGTGATGAAAATATTTTTAACATTGAAAACAGCAAGGAGAGAAAGATGTTTCCATTTTCTTAAATCTTGCTCATATATTTTATGTTTTTATAGTTACATTTTTGTATTAAAAGTTAAGCTTTGTTCACACACAGAAAATACGTAAAATGCATACACAAATTCTGTACACCTCCCTCTAAAAGGCAAAGCCCAATTCCCTTTCTCTTGAGTATAGGCTGGGCTTTGTGACTCACTTTTAGCCAACAGAATATGGCAGAAGTGATAATGTGTGACTAGGTCATAAAAGTTATCACCACTTCCTCCTTGCTCTCTCTCTCTCTCTGATCACTTACTACGGGGGAAGCTGCTATGTTGTGAGGGCACTCATGCAGCCCATCAATGGTGACATTCACGTGCCAAGGAACCAAGGACTCCTGCCAATAGCCAGCACTAACTTGCCAGACATAGGAGTGAGCTACCTTGGAAGCAAATCTTCCAGCCCCAGTCAAGTCTTTAGATGATTACAGCCCTGGCCAATATCTTGACTGAACTTCATGTGAGACCTTGAGCCAGAATCATCTAGCTAAGGCATTCCTGGATTCCTGCCCCACAGCAATTATGTAAGATAATACATGTTTATTGTTTTAAGCCACTAAGTTATGAAGTAATTTGTTACACAGACATAGATAACAGTCACACAAAGCTTATTCTCAATTCTGTGCCACTCCTCATGCCATTTTCCCCAGAGGTGTCCTTTCATTATCCATCCCAACACTCCCCCTCTATCCTTCAGTATTCTAACTAAAGTTTCATCTCTTTGGGAGGCACTTTTTTGTCTATGAAACCATCTCAACTTTCATTTCTCTGGCTTCTCCTTTGAAGAAGCCAGATGATTGACCATATCATTCATTTAGTCATTTATTCATATATTCCTCTGTGTTACTGTGCTATATGTATATATCTTTCCTCCTAAAGATGAAGATGTCATACAGTTTTTAAAACCTGCATTAAGCACACTATGATTAAGGTACTCAATAAATATTTGCTGATAAAATTAACACATCTCACACACACTTATAAACACATACCCTGAAAGTGTAATTTGAGTAAGTAGCATAAAGTAGTGGTTAACAATGTAGAGAAGCTACTTTACCTCACATCTGCATACTTACTAGCTGCTGTCACTGGCTAGGTTATTTAAAATATCTCTATAAACCTTAGTTTCTTCAGTGTTTTTAAATGAGAATTCTAACAGTACCTTAGAGTAATAACAAGGTTAAAGAAAATAATGCATGCAAACCTCTTAACAAAGTACCTAGCATAGAGTACTCAACAAATGTTAGCTATTATTGTTCTTATAATGAATTACAAATCACAAAATATGTGCTGAAATTCTAAGTCCCTATGAGTCTCTAGATGTTATCAAGTAGCAATCTAAATTAAGACAAAATTCTACAAACAAAAAGAGAACTCAGACCTTCTTTTAAAACAGCTTTTAATTCTTAAAAAATCCACTTGTAGGTCAATACAACTACAGCCTGAACCAATTGTAGGAGTGCAGACCTGATTCTTTCTCCTCTCTGTCCTATTAAGACATTACCTTCGAAGCTTTTGTGAGAACACTTAATTGCTTGCATTCCTTAACAGGCAATCACCAAAGTAGTTTCCAGATTCACTTTTGACCTTTACAGTCCTGAGAAGGCATATGAGGCAAACTTCCTAGAGATGTAAATTTAGACAATCTCTGGAATGATAGAGCTACACATATGTGAATATGCTACATAAAGCAAATCCATTTTGCACATCAACTAAAACAGAATTCAATTGAACAATCAATCCAATAGAACAAATCAATCCAAAAGAATTTTGTTATGGCATGTATCCAAACAAGAAAAAACCCCTCTAATGCTATTCAGTCTGAATTACATGAGTTTCATGAACTGAGAACATCTCTAAGATCGTATTTTATAATTTGATCATATTTGAACATATTTTAAGGTTTCCTATTAAAAAGCTAAATATAACAGATGCTCTCCTATCCTAAAAAGGACTTAAGAGATCTGTTAAAGAAAAACTGGATGATTTTAAACCACCAACCTATATAAAAACATGCATACTTTTTAAATATGTTCCATGTCATCTGCAATAAAATGACCCACTTAATTCAAATTCTTATTTTCTCTTTTCCCCACCAATACACCTTAAAAACTTTAGTTTTTGAAACATCCACTCTTTATCTGACCCTACATATCACACAACCTGAAATAGAAACAAAGACGGGGAAATTAGCTTGTTTATTCCACCTTAGTGTCAAACAAAAGTACAAATAATATTCAGTGCATGTGCTAGTTACCTTAGAGCTGCCAATCATGCTTGTTTTGAAACCCTTCGATTTTCAGAGCTGTCAATCTTGTGTGTTATGATAGAGAGTCAGCACAGAGATAATGCTTTAAAAGACAGAATCCTCATTAACACATTAGTAAATGAACTTTACTTATAAAACTGGACTTGAGGATTTTACGGACATGTTTACAGCTCTTGAAAAATCAAAACTAAAATACAACTTAATGAAATGAAAAGATTTGGAGAATTTGGCTCTTTGACCAAAGCAACAGCATAGTTTAACCACAGGGATTTTATATACATATATAAGATACTATAATATAAAAAAAGAAATGTTCCTGACTAACTCTAATCACAAGTATTATGACCTTGAACGGAAGTAGGAGAATAAAACTGATCTAAATCTGGGCATTTTAATTTTTGTTTTTAAAGCAGGCAATCATATCAATATAACACATTCCCCTTCTCCACCTCCCCCATACAACCTAACTCACTATCTACCTAGTCATTCATGTCCAAAATGAAATATTATTCAAAACTTTTCTCTCTCACACACAAACCACAACTATTCAGTCACCAAGACCTGTCTCTTCTACTTCCTAAATTGCTAAACGTGTCTCCTTTCCCCACCCTAAGATTTAATTCACATTCTCATCATTTTTTTCTGGCGGCTTCCTTACTAACCTCCCTCTCACATCTTTCTTCCAAAATATGTTCCACACCTCTGCCAGAATGATCTCACTGAAACACAAAGTTGACCCACGTTGCTTGTTACAATATTTTAATGATTCTTTGCTACCTTCAGAATAAAATCCCAATTTTTTAGGACAGTATGTAAATTCCTTGAAAATCTGGCTCCTGGTCATCTCCCCACTCTCCCATCACTCCTCCTAAACTTAAGCCAACTAAACCACTTGAATTCCCAGAAGAGGCAGGCTCTCTCTCTCATTTAAAACTTGGGCAAGTGCTGCTTCCTCACCCAGAAACACTCTCATTTTCTGCACGTAGTATCTCCTACCCATCCTTTGCAACCCAGTTCTATTGTTAGTTCCTCTAGGAAGCCTTCTCTGACACAAGCAGATTGAGCCATCAATTCCTTCTCCATTCCTGTAGAAGAGAGTAAACAGAACTTACATGATGTTATATTATTGGTTTACTTCTCTATCCCCCTGACCGGATCAACTCCCTGGAAGCAGGGATTGTCATTAGTCTGTATGTCACTAGCCTTAAATACACAGGTAGCACATAATAGATGTTAATAGCTCATTAAAAGTTTGGTGACTCAGTGAAAAATCTTATCATGCCCAGTTCATTTAAAAATAAAATTATAAAATAAGTAGCTTATTTCTTGAGATTGATAAAATGTTTTACCAGTGCATTCTAAGGCATCCAAACTAATCAATGCTATAAAGCAATTCTTTGGGCCTAACAGGAGTTTTAAGAAATTTACTCATTTATTTGCAAATTCACTATAAGAATTGGTACCATCTCAAGCAGGATTTCAGATTGAATAATTTCACCTTATTTTTGCTACTGCCCCTACTGGAGGTGTTAAAGTCTCAACCATGATAAATGTTCATGTCCAAAACACTCGGCGCCTTGATTGGTTCAACAAACGCTGTTCTGATATGTGACAATCCTTATCAAGGGCATCAGTGAACAGGCAGTCAACACAGGCAAAACTCCAACCCAGCTACACTTCACTTATCAGGAAGTTAGTTATCTGGTGACATCAAGTAGCTACACGGCCCAGTGAGACCTATACAGAAGGAGTTTAGGAGCTGTCAGAATACATGTTGAAGCCCATACACTAAAGTACCCATACTTTACTTACAGAAGAGGCTGCTAGGTCCTTACTCAAACCCTAGTTGTTCTTATTTTAAGCACAACAAATTTGATGACTGATCTCCCAAGTATAGGCATACTGGAAGAGGAAAATTAGGAGGTCTGAGAAAGCTATAAAAAGCAGATAAGGGCATAACAGCAGTAAAGGAGAGATAACACAAAACTGCAGATCTGGGGGGTTATATGGTTATGGAGCATAATTCTGCATATTTTTATTATGATACAATACAAAAATTAATGTTTATAATTGTGACCCTGGATCATCAAAAGCAAAAACAAAAAAAGGCTCAACTGCTTTAGGTCTAACAAGGTTCAAAGAAAGTATATAATACATTTTATTAAAAGAACCAATAAACAATTAAAAATTAAGTATATTAGGTATAAATAGCCAATTTTCTATTATTTACACAATAAACTTTTTTGAAACATATCATTCCCAAATAACATGAGGCATATTGATACTAATCAGGTCCTGTGACTAGAGGTCTTACCATAATTATGATACAGATCCATCACAAAACAAAGCCTAGACCTGCTAGTTATTAGCTTATTGGGGGTTACAGTATTCAGACTCACCATACTATTTCTTAGTCTGTTCGATCTGAATAACAAAACACCATAAATGAGGGTACCTTATAAACAGCAGAAACTTCTTTCTCACAGTTCTAGAGGCTGGAAGTCCAGGATAAAGGAACAAGCAGATTTAGTGTCATGAAGACCTGGACCTGGTTCATAGATTAACTAGCCAGTTTACTAATCCCATTCATGAGGGCAGAATCCTCCTGACCTAAATACCTCCCAATAGTCCAGCTCCTAACTACATCACACTGGTGATTATGTTTCAACAAATGAATTCTGCGGGGACACAAACATTCGTAACATAGCAACGACGGACACCATAACCAAAGATATAATAGACTACCTATCATTTTTTAACAGACCTCCACAGAGCTTCACTGCCACACCGCCTTCAGGGTCCCTGACATGAAATTGCTTCATATGTAAGACTGTTTTAGGAAGTCTTTATGATGCTTGAGTTACTATATATTGTATGACTTAGAGTGCAGCACAGCAGGGTGAAAGGCAAATTTGGACATACACTGCCCTAGGTTTGAATCCCTGCTTTGTTAATTACTAGTTGCGTGACTGCAGCACATTATTTATGCTCAGAGACTCATTTTCTTCATTTGGGAAATGGAGATAATACATACTTTCTATATGTTTGTTGTGAAGAAGAAATGAGACAATATACATAAAATGCCAGTGTAGGTTTTTAAAAAGCTGTTATGATTATCAGAAGGAAATCAGATGGAATATAGAAAGGAAACAATCAAGTCTGTGAAATTGTGAGCTGCATTAATATGACAGAAGAAAAAATGTCTAAAAACAAGGGTATACAAATTCCCATGATGGGAAAAGTGCTTTGTATTTTTACATCACTATACAAGCCCTCTGACTCATAGAAAGTTTCATGGAAAATTAGGTTAAAGACTCGTAGAAAAAGTATACATGTACACAGCAAAAATATTAACTTAAAGCAGATTAATGCAAATATTCTAATATGGGGCCAAGGCGTTCTCTCTTAGTATGGGGTCCATTCACTGAAGCTCTGCTCTTCCTTACATAAGAATACCCACACTGCAAGGTCTGTGACTGACAGGGCCAGTCATGTGAAAGTAGAACAAGAACACAAAGACAATTGGAAAGCAATACCTTTCACGTTTTTATAATTTTTGTTTCAATCTGCAGTTTTCTTGCACAATCTAATTCAATAGCAATTTCTTAAAAACAAAAAACTCCTTTCTGATTCAAGCAGCAGGGACGGGGGAAAAAAAACAAAAAACCAAAGTTTTCCTTTGTGGAGTCTTTCTAAAACATTAAAGTTAGCATTCATAAGAACAAAAACCCTTTCTGTATTCAAATTTTATTAATATGTACAATATTCAAGTAAATTTCTTAATATAAACACGTTTTGAAACGAGTACAACTAGGCCGGGCATGGTGGCTCACGCCTGTAATCCCAGCACTTTGGGAGGCCGAGGCGGGCAGATCACTTGAGGTCAGGAGTTCGAGACCAGCCTGGCCAACACGGCAAAACCCTGTCTCCACTAAAAATACAAAAATTAGCCGAACGTGGTGGCACACGCCTGTAATTCCAGCTACTCAGGAGGCTCAGGCACAAGAATTGCTTGAACCTGGGAGGCAGAAGTTGCAGTGAGCCGAGATCATGCCACTGCACTCCAGGCTAGGTGATGGAGCAAGACTCTGTCTCAAAAAAAAAAAGAAAAAAAGAAAAGAAGCACAACTAAGCTTTTGCTAAACATGTACCTCAACTGGAAGAAACAAAAGTGCCTAGGTATAGTACAGGACTACTAATTTCTAATGTTCCATGTGGTGCTGGTATCTGTCAGTGGGCTTTACAAAAGAAAACGATGATGTCAACTGATTTGACAAATCAGTTAATTAAATGATAACTTCCAAAGAAGTTAATGCCATTCTTAGTCATTCTGATTTGTCATCTGTGATTTCTGACTTCAAGTCATAAGCTGATTTAAAAGAAAAATAGAATAACTTTTGAGGCTGGCACTATAAGGTCCCATGTATGTCTCAAAATCTTTAAATATACTTATGCCTATTCTGCAACTTACTCTAAGTAGATCAAATTACTATTGTTCATGCTTAAGTACTATAGCTTAGATTCTGAATGTTACTATTTAGGTCATGTCTTTCTAAAATTAGTTTCTTCCTTTCCAAGTGTTTTTCAAACTTTTCTTATTTACAGTAGAAATACTCACCACACACATTAAACAAAATTGTCCCAGAGCTATAATACATAAAACAGATAAATGTAGGGCCACTCTGAAAGTAGGGCCCAACTGCCCCTTTATCCTCAATAAGCAATATCTTAAACTTTTCTGCAAAACTCTAGGGCTTTTTGGTACAAAGACTAAAAACTGTTCCTTTAAACTATAATCAAAAATGAACATTAAAACAAAAGTTATAGAACTTAAGAGGCTATCATTTAGCTAATTAGAATATTCATTAATCAAAATATTTTCTGATCCCTATTAGTTGTTATAAGTCTGAAATGCCAAACTTACTTATTAAAAGAAACAATAAAAAATTAAAACATAGGCCGGGTGCGGTGGCTCAAGCCTGTAATCCCAGCACTTTGGGAGGCCGAGACGGGTGGATCACGAGGTCAGGAGATCGAGACCATCCTGGCTAACACGGTGAAACCCCGTCTCTACTAAAAAAATACAAAAAATTAGCCGGGCGAGGTGGCGGGCGCCTGTAGTCCCAGCTACTCGGGAGGCTGAGGCAGGAGAATGGCGTGAATCCGGGAGGCAGAGCTTGCAGTGAGCTGAGATCCGGCCACTGCACTCCAGCCTGGGCGACAGAGCGAGACTCCGTCTCAAAAAAAAAAAAAAAAAAAAATTAAAACATTTGGCTAAACTGGATATTTCAACTAGTTATTTTTCACTGTATTTAATTAATCTTTAAACTGTCCTAAAGTAGCATTACTCAACTACACAAAAGCCTGAATGAAGAAAAGAAAATAGTTCTCTAAAAGGATCAAAAAAAGGAAGGCTGGGCTGGGTGCAGTGGCTCACACCTGTAATCCCAGCACTTTGGGAGGCCGAGGCAGGTGGATCACAAGGTCAAGAGATCGAAACCATCCTGGCCAATGTGGTGAAACCCCGTCTCTACTAAAAATACAAAAATTAGCTGGGCATGGTGGTGCACGCCTGTAGTCCCAGCTACTCAGGAGGCTGAGGTGGGAGAATCGCTTGAACCCAGGAGGCAGAGTTTGCAATGAGCCAAGATTGTACCACTGCATTGCAGCCTGGTGACAGAGCAAGACTCTGTCTCAAAAAAAAAGGAAGGCCGATGAATGATGAACAGATTATGTATTTCTCTTATTTATAACGATTTAAAATGTACCAAAGCAGGAAGCTCTGTCATTATGGAGATTCAGCCTCCTAGACTCTGTTCAGTCAGAGGCCTGACAGCATGACTGTAGAGAACATGTGTCCAGCCCAATAAGCTGTTCTACCTAGTCATATAATCTAAACACAGGTCCAAAAAGGGAAAGACCAGAAACAACTGAGCTGGATCTCATTACTTCCTTGTTCAGTGATAAAGACAACAGGCAAACATTTGAATAAAGTCGGTTCCTACCCACAAATTTTGTTTTAGATATAAGTAGGAGTAATAAGTAACCAAAACAGTAATTATGCTGACCTGACAATTCTCAACAATATTTTCAAAGCATAAGTGACAGATCCCTATAAGAAACCTAGAGAAGGGTTTTAGAAAGAACCTAGGCATTTCTACATGAAGATCTATTTATTAGATCTTCAAATGAAGATCTAATAAATATTCTGTGAAGAGTATAAACCTTCATTTCATGATAGATTAAAAACTGGAGAACATGAAATTTGATACGTTAAAAAGTTTCTCTCAAAAAACAATGTATGTAGATAAAGAGCTGGAGTTGTTATCTACATAGCCATAAAGGTATGTACATAGGATATGTAGGCAGAGAAAATAAGTAATCAAACTATTGATGTTAAACCTTGGCTGAAGATTGGGCACAGTTAGAAATAACATTACCAGACTGTAGGACCAAAGAGGAAGCTGAAGAGAGCTTCAGAGACAGCTGAAGACTTGACTCTTATCTTTTTTTTAAAAGGCACTTTGGTGGCATTTCAGACTTACAGCACTAGAACTAGAAGTCAAGCACTAGAACTAGAAGGCCTTTTTTGACTACTGTTATCTTCCACTCACCAGGCACTTTGTCACCGTATTATCCATTTTTACTTATGTAATTACCAATATTTTAAATTGATTCATGTACTTGTTTACTATCTATGCCTCCCTCCCCCATTTGCATATGCACTTCAAGAGAGCAGAGAACTAGTCTGTCTGGTTTACCAGTCTTTACAACAGTACCTGGCTAATTGAAGAGGTCTAGTAAGTATTTGTTGAATGAATGAGTGAATGGATGAACGAATGAACAAATCAACTCCTGTAGCACTTTGACTCTTCCCTCTTGATGATCCTCATTTATGAATGTATTTATTTTGTGACTCCTTTGAAGTTTAAATGGGTACTTCTGGTAAGAGTAACTGGATACTAAGCAGATGGTTTCATGGAAGCAGGAATAGAGAAATTACTACAGATAGCTACAGAACAAAGAGATGTAGGCATATAACTCTCCTAAATACATTAAAAAAGACTCTAATATACTCACTGCTCCAAAGATTAGAGAATTTACTTGCAAAATTACTGAGCCACCCCCTCTCCCCTCAAAAAGCTTTTATGACTGCTTCATTGGGGGGAGAATAGAGATGGAGGTTTCAAGAAAATAATTTATATAATAGAATGTGTGCATATGTGGTATATACTTAGTTTTAAATTAAAAATTAAGATTTAATAAATGTTGTAATAGATGCTAGTATTTAACCATTTAAAGCTATACTACACATAAAACAAATTTAAATCAGACTATACTACTCATTAGAAAACTAATTGCAAATCGGATACGTAAAAATCTGTGACTTAAAAGCCAAGCATGGTGGTACGTGCCTGTAAGTCCCTGCTACTCAGGAGGCAGAGGTGGGAGGATTGCTTGAGCCCAGGAGTTCAAGTCCAGCTTGGGCAACTTAATTCTAGATCTCTACGGCATTCTGAATATATTATGTTCAACAATATGACATAATCACAAAAGTGATGTTTTAAATTTTTAATTCAATGAGAAAAAAGAACAGTGCAGACAAAAGAATATCCACAAAGAAATAAATATCCATGAAAGACATATGATTAACAGAATTCCATCCTCACATGTAAAAAGAAGTATATGACTGGTATTTGTAATTTATAATCAACTTGACTAAGCAGCTGAATATCTACTGAGAAATAGCTTAGCAGAGTTGTCACAAAATAGATCTTTTTAGAAAGTCAATACCTGACTCTCTGGTTGCACGTTAGGTCAGCTTGTAAGAATAAGATAGGCACTGCAACTGGACAGCATCCATGGTAGCTGATCAATTGTAAGGAGGGGACTAAGGATTTATTTGTGTAAAATAAAACAGTACTTTATTTTATAATTACTATATATTTTCGACTAATGAAAAAATGATCTGCTACAGCTTCTGCTGATAGTATAGTACCTAAGAGCTGAGGATACCTCTCTTAAAGGGTAACTTTTTATCACATATCTTCTTACTTGCCTCCTTCATAAACCCTCCTCAAAAGGAATTCTTGAGGGATGTCATCATTAGGTCACCAGGATTTTAGTAAAAACAATGCAATGAAAATAACAATAACAATAGTAGCATTTGTTTACCATATGCCAATCACTTTTCTAAATTTTTAGACACAATAATTGAATTCCTTCTGTAGCCATTTACATAACAGATACCGATTACAGTATTAAAATCTGGACTGACAGATACACCCTACTTAGAAATTTCTTTGGGTCTCCCTACTTTTGAACTAAGCTTGTACGATACTTGATATACCAATTCAAGTCATGCTCGAGCCATTCCTCTCATGCCAGGGAGCACAGTCTTTCAGCTGACACCTGGTTTATACCACTCATCTTGTTAAAACACTGTTCAGCCTCTGGTTATCTAAGCTAGAGGTGTGCTGCAGCCAGGTAATATCAGTTTGTGAGAAGCCCTGTGCACACATCTTCCCAACTCTGCATTCAGTGACATCATGTTGGTGACTTGACATTGGCCATGTTGGGAGTATTTTACATTATAGAAATTGGGGCTTTTTTTTTTTAATCAGCTAGTTGTTAAATATTTACTCATATATCACTAATCTGAGGAAATGTGTATTCTGTTAAGTTTGTCAGGCCCTATTCAGATTCAGGTAGAGCAAGTTTATGTCTCTAAATTGGGTAAGACCAATTATCAACGCCATCTTTAGATAGCCAGCTCTCAGGAGAAAGGCAAATAATTCTCATAATTGCTCTCCTAGGTCTAGAGTAGACTCTTCGCCTTTCATTTCCACAATATGACCAATTTTTATATGCCAAAAACTTCTTAAACACTGTAATTCATCCTATCTAAAATACCATTGATTACTAGATTCACTATTGTTTTATATATGATTAAGAAAAAAAAAAAACACTGCCAGTTAATTTAATATACTGTCAACTGTAATATGCATCCTGATATCAAAAATAGTGAAAACTAAAAAATGCACATCAGAAACTGATGGGGAAAAAAATCACTTCTATTTTGTTTACTATTGGTTTCCCATCTCAGAATCTTAGTTCAACCTCTCCTTGACTCTCGATATTCCACTCCTAGATCTCCCACCTTAGTGCCTTCTCCAGTGCCTTTTTGTATTCATAAATATCTTTACCTACATAAACTACAACAGAATGAACTCTATTTATTAGGAAAAATAATCCTAAAAATAGATGCAAAATAATAAGAAAAGAAAGAAAAAAAAGAAAGGAGAAGTGGAAAGAGACCATGGAACAGAGAAGGGACAAAAAAAGGGTTCCAGGCAAAATGGCCTAAGCAACATGCATTACAAAGTTGGTTTTAAGTTTATGGTGTGGAATGGCTTATTATCAGGATGAACATTCAAGTCTTCCCAGCAACTGCTTTCACTGCTTTGAGAAGACATGAGTCTGGCCTACCATGACCAACAAGTATTTTTAAAGCACTTCAGACTTTTCTTCCGCATTATCAAGACAAATAAATATGTTTTCTGTCTTTTCAAAAATTACCTTTCATTCAACAATACTTTTGAGCTGTCTTGACTTTAATGAATACTCTTAAGGTACTTGGAAATGATTCTACTTACTCTCCATCCACTTCTGGTCTTCTACATACACAATGAAACTTTCCACCAAAATCTATGTAAAGATCATTCTCCACAATATGAAAGATCCGTCCAATGACCAGTTTATCCTTTGCAGGTCCCATCTGTATAAGAGGAGAACGTCTCAGCATAGATGCGAAGGATTCCACATTTTTTGGAGAGCCCTAAATATGAAAAGAGATATTTATATACATATAACTCAACATGAAGGTATAATAAAGTCTTAAAGAAATATTATTAAAGTCAATTGTTGTAGTAATAATTTTAAAATGTTTGTGGAATTTTGCTTTAAAATGCCGGTTATGCTCTTCAACTTCCTCTTCCATCCTTTCCTTCCTGAAGAGGAGTTAAAGAAAGTAGGCATCGAGGTTGAGTGCAGTGGCTCACGCCTGTTATCCCAGCACTTTGGGAGGCTGAGGCGGGTGGATCACCTGAGGTCTGGAGTTCGAGACCAGCCTGACCAACACGGAGAAACCCAGCTACTCAGGAGGCCGAGGCAGGAGAATCACTTGAACCCGGGAGGCAGAGGTTACATACAGTAAGCCAAGATTGCACCAATGCACTCCAGCCTGGGCAACCAGAGTGAAACTCTGTCTCAAAAAAAAAAGGAAAGAAAAAAGAAAGAAATTAGACATCTACACTTGGCAGAGGATGACAGAGATGTGATAGTCCAGCGTGAGGTCTCAAGAGCTCAGGCAGGGTAAGGAGAGTAGAAGAGTGTCTGTATATCAAGTCTCTGAGAATGGGGGAGGTGGGGTGGTTAGTGGTCAGAGTATGAGCACGTGAGGAGGGCATCCAAGAAGCAATTGACTTTATTCCTAGCACTGACCATCTGTAAAAAAATGCCTGCTAAGTCAAGTTTAGTGAAACTGACTATTCTTTTAAAACAAATTTAAATATACATTATGATAAAAACAATTAAGAGCCTTTCATCACAATGATCAGTCTGAACATGATTTCCTGATATACAATTCTTTCTAAAAAAACTTGAATTTGTTAATACTTTTGTTTTTCCTAAAGTAAATTCCAAAAGAAAAATAGCTTGTTTTGTGCTATTCACTTTCTAGGAATCGTTTTACATATTAAATTCACTTGAGGTATGACTATTCTTTTTTTCTTACAAAAATTTTTTCCAAACACATTTTTCCAAATCCGTAAACACAGATTTGTGTCTTCTACTCATTTTTGTGTATAGAGTGGTGTGTGCAATTTGGTACAAACTAAAGGAAGAGCTAAGTTTCTATCTGTGAGAGCAAATCATGGAAGAATATTAACAATTTGAGCTGACGACTTACATGCTGTATTTGGAATGAGTTTTACATTTGTTATCCAGGGGAGAACTACTTACTAAAAGTTCAATAGTAAAGTGCATTTATTTTTAAAGCTACACAACTATATTTGCGACTTAAGTTTAATGCATGTACTACTTGAAGGATTACAAACTCAAACGCCAGGCCAGGTAAGGACTTGATAATCAGGATATGTGCCCAAGTTTAAAAGGTACAGACACTACTCAGCTCCAGCTGCAATTCAAGTCCCCATGTTTTAATTTTTAATGTTTTAATTTTCCAAGAAAAGCCAGAAATCCACATATTAATGTAAATTTTCCAATTTTTAAATACGTATTATATGCAGGGGGAAAAAGTTGTCCATTTTACCAACCTGGCAAAACACATCCAGGTGTTGAATTTGGCCTACGAACCACAAGTTTATGATCTCTGCTTCAGGAAAAGGAAAGTCAAGACATTTGGCTTATGCCAAGTCCCTTAGGTGCTAGAGGGAGGGTATGATGATGAATTTGTTTGGTGAACTGAAACACACTGGGAAAAAATCCCTAGCACAAAAGGGTCAATCTAAACTAAAGACAAGTCAATAGGCCTAGAGACCAACTACAGCTGAAAGGGTAACCAGGAATGTATGCCATGAGCAATCACACTAGTTTTATAAATCCACAAAATACAACATTAAAGGTCCTTAAACAAGCACTTTGAAAAAATAGTTCTTTCTTGCAGAGCCAAAGATAAAACAAATCCTACAGAGGTAACACAGACACAGCTGACTTGCCCTTTAGAGGTAGCATAAAAGAGTAATTCTATGTAAGCCATTCTTGACAAGAGCAGCTACATAATCCTTTGCTGGGAGCCACTATTCCATCCATAGCAGCTGCCACCAAAGCAGTGGATAACAGCAGTGCTCAAGAAAAGAGCAAACAGTATCAACTTGGGGGTCTCTGCTTGTAACCAGGGCAGGTCCTGCCCACTTTCCCTATGATCTGCTTTCCCATTACTCCACTTTTATGGCTGATATCTACCAGAGTTCCTCTCTTCTTCTTCTTTTTTCCTTTTGGCTGACTCAATTGAAGCCATAGTTCAATTAAAACTAGATGACAGGGGCTAGGCATAGTGGCTCACACCTGTAATCCCAGCACTATGGGAGGCCAAGGTGAGTGGATCACTTGAGGTCAGGAGTTCAAGACCAGCATGGCCAACATGGTGAAACTCCGTCTCTACTAAAATACAAAAATTAGTCGGGCATGGTGGCATGTGCCTGTAATCCCAGCTACTCAGGAACCTGAGGCAGGAGAATCACTTGAACCCAGGAGATGGAGGTTGCAATGAGCCAAGATGGCACCACTGCACTCTAGCCTGGGGAACAGAGTGAGACTCTGTCTCAAAAAAAAAAAAAAAAAAAAACAACTAGATGACACGAAGATGCAGTAGTAGCAGATCCAGTAGTTAAACTTTTACTGGAGATAATTCAGCCATCACTAAGACCTGTTCCTAAAATAACACAATGTACTTTATCAATTGTAAAGAGACATTTGAGCTAAGATTAGTATAATAGTAAGCGGTATTTTCCCCTTGGTTTTAGAAAATTATTGAGTGCTCTCAACTGTTTAAAAAGATTCTCTTGAGATTTTTAGTAAGTCTACAGTTAAATATTAATTACATTATAAACTTTATATAGTTATTTTTTAAAGGTAACTTTAAAATCAAGTGGAAGTAGAACATTTCTCTTCCATTATTTTTTGCCTTTACTTTATTATATTTTGCAAGGAAGTCAGTGTGTTTTCAGTGAGTGAAAAATAATTTTCACTCACAAGCATAAGAACCCTGGATTAACACCTGAATTTGCTTTTAAATTGTAGCTCATTATTTCATTTGATTTTTGATATTGCATCATTGATTTTGAGAAGCTACATCAAACAATCAGACAAACCCTTGTTTCAAAAATCATAGTCTAGAACCATCTCTGAATTCTAGGGCTTATACCAAAATGTACTCATTTACTTGTCAAATGACTACTAAAAACAGTAAATGTAGCAACTCCCACAATCCATGTTGACCACAGGGAGTCCTGTTTTAAAGTCTCTAAACTAACATTGATAGCTCCTCTCATGCTGACATAGACTGCAGAGACTGGAAGCATACTGTCACTGCTGGATATGTATCATGGAGCTCAGTGCCTAACCCTGGAAAATGTTACAATAAAGCCCACTAACTGAGCTGTCATAGGTACTAACTTGGAGTTGACTATTTCCTTTAAGAGTTGGTCACAGAGCTCATATCTCCTGCTATTCTGCTGTACTATTTTCTCCTTGGAAGCCTGAGAGTTGAACAGGACCGTCAAGGTAGAAAGGAGGAAGGTAAAGGAATTACAGACATATCGAACAGTATCACTTTCATGTATTCAATCATTCATTCATTTATTCATCAAACATGTGTTGTGTTTTTAATATACATTAAGCATATATATAACTATCATGCATATGAGGACCATTTAATATACAGCTTAGAATCGGGAAACTAGTGGTAAAAGAAATATGAGACATCAACTAATCCAACTACCTCATGTTATACATGAGTACCATACATGCTATTCAAAGCTACATGGGATGCTGAACAGTAGTTCTTAAATAAAATTTGCTGGTGAAGACAGAAAATAGATACAAACATCATAGCAAACTTAAAAGAAGACAGTACAGAAGAATAACAAATACTTACGAAACCTGACTTCTATAACCAACTCAGACAATAAACAGCTAAAAAAATCCTGAATAAGTCATTTAACTTCTCTAGATCTGTTTTCTCATTTATAAATTAAAGGATTGGATAACTATAAACTTTCTTCCAACTCTATAAAGTAGTAGGAATTCTTAAATATTCTAAAATATAAAAAGGATTTTATAAAGTAACACACATTAGAAATGGGAGACATTTCTCCCATTTGACCCAGTCACCTCCTTTAATGTAAACAATAACAACAGCTGGGCACAGTGGCTCACCCTGTAATCCCAGCACTTTGGAAGGCTGAGGTAGGTGGATCACCTGAGGTACGGAATTCGAGACCAGCCTGACCAACACGGGGAAACCCGGTCTCTATTAAGAATACAAAATTAGCCTGGCAAGGTGGCGCTATGCCTGTAATCCTAGCTACTCGGGAGGCCGAGGCAGGAGAATCGTTTGAACCCGGGAGATGGAGGTTGTGGTGAGCTGAGATTGCGCCATTGCACTCCAGCCTGGGCAACAAAAGCGAGACTCTGTCTCAAAAGAAAAAAAGAAAAAAGAAAAAGAAAAAAAACAATAACAACAAAGGTAATGAAATGGTATATATACTTTAACTACTTCATACTGGTTAGCAAGAAAAAAATTTCAACATGCATCTCCAAAAATGACTCACTTCTATTAACTGTGCTATGATAACTTTTGTTTCTTTAACACTAACCAATAAATGTTATGCTCACAACAAAGTTCTTTTATTGAAATAAATGTATTGGTGACTCAAAGTGATATGGTACTTACATTTATCTCTCTCCCTCCTGAAATCCCATTAAATGATGGTAAAATAATAAATTTAAAAATTGTAAAAATTATAAACCCTCACTATTAAAGGGAACAGATGGAGAACAAAAGTATACAAGCATACTTTCTAGTGGATAGGAAGCATGTGGAAGAGTGGTAATTAATGAAGCAGAGTGAAATGCAAGAAGAAGCTGTGAAAAAAAAAAAAAAAAGCTATTCTATCCTGAAGAATTCCATAAAGGTATGGAGCTCAGTCATGCCAGGCTGCAGCGAGAAGACAAGCTGAAAATAAGAAGAATAACCAAAAACAACAGAGGTAGGGCAGTCAATCTTCTGTCAAGCACAAAATTCCTCAAATGCAT